TCGGAGTTGAAATCTTTCATAACCAAACCCCCTATTTACTTGTTGTTTTGGACATCCGTAACGACTAACGAATCGAGTTCCTCGTGAGATCGATCCCTACTCTCCCTAGCTGCATTTATTTGTTTTTATAGGAGTTTAGGAGTTAATTTGGGTGCTCGCGACAGCATTACCATCAAAACATCCTTATTGTTGGAAAAAAAATTTTACGACAACCTAACATCATCGTTGATTATTATTGTTATTATGTTATCTTATTGTTATCTATATGAGTGTTTGTTTGTTAATTAAGAAAAGTAATTCTTACAAGAGATGGATTTGATTTGATTTTGATTTTTTTTTTAATAATAGTCTTATGTGATGTTGTCAATCCATTTACCTATTTAAAAACTTGTTCTTTAGTAAGCTCGATCGTGACAATTTCGCTTCATTTTCTTTTGTTCAAAACAATTTTAATCAATTTTGAAAAGCCTGACTTAGTTCATCAATAAATTTGTTTTTTATGTTATCATTTACGATTCAAATATGACGTAAGTAGGGATGACATAGGGATGATAATGGGTTGGTTACTCGGCTCATTAAGACATAACTAGGGATGACATAGGGATGACAATGGGTCGGGTACTTGGCTCATTAAGCCAATCTCTTATCCTACCCATTAAAAAATACTATACCCCTTATTCATTAAAAATCATTTATCTATTTTTTTTATCTTGTTCATATTCATTATATCATATCTTGCTCATATCCTGTCCATGTCCATTTATTCGTTAACTTTTTTTTTAAATTGAAGATTTTTCTTTAAATTTTTTTTACCGAATTTTTTTAACTCGAAATGATAAAGTTAATTAATATGAAGTGGTTGTTAAAGTTAATTAAGATTTACGAGTTGGACTATCTTACAAACCATTATTTAATTTATTTTTTATTTTTTATACATAGTTTTTTTCTTAATTGAGAAAGATAAAAAAAACTTGCGAGTGGTTTTTTTCGGGCCATTGACTCTTATTTTTCTTATAAATCCAAAAGGGCACCACAACAATTAAACTTGAAATTTGCTTCAAGACGTTCTTAGTACTTTTTATGTTAATGGGTAAAATATGCGTATTAATGGATAAAAAGAGAGTATCGATATTCATGAATAAATTATCCATTAACATAAATGGATAATACTACTTTACTCATATTTAACTCATTACACATTAGGATATTTTAAAAGAGTAATTAATGGGCAAGTTAGGTAGGGTATCCATTTTGTACCCCGCCCACTGCCATCCCTAGACGTAACGTGAATTAATCGTAAAAGAATAAAATTTTACAAATATAGCGAGTGTATATATATATAAATAGTCCGTCTAACACTTAATTAAAAAAAACATTATATATTTTTAATGCATGTAAACTTATTCGAAAATATTAATATGGTTCTATCAAAAATATTGTTACAAGAATATTATTATCGTTGGATAGAAAATTCATTTTGTTTAAAGGAACAATAACTTGACAAAACATACTAATAAAATTGTCAAAGCAACAAAATTTCCGACTTGCTTGAATTTTAATTATATATGCTTTCAACAGAACAGAGATGGGATCATAATTAAATTCGGATAAAAAATATTTATCAAATTTATTTAATTATATTAGATTTAAATCGAATTTAGATCAAAATCCGATCCATCTATGCTTTTAAAAAAACTAATTATTTATATATAAAAAATAATGATGATAATTAAATTAAAATGTTTAAAAATGAGACATCTATCTCAGTTTGGGCGAAAGTTGTCGATCTTAGAAAAAACTAATTGCTATGAAGAATGCAGCCAAGGCTGCAATGGACGAAGGTGGTTCTTCTCATGTGGCATTGTCCATGCTTGTCCAGTCATTGAAGCTGAAAAATGAAATTTACTTGGCCTTGTTTGTGATCATTAGCTGCCAAGCAAACAAGACATCATTAATTCAGTAACTTTTAATATACTTACTGCCAGCACACAAAAACTGAAGAATTATAAATAGTTGACCTTTTATGTCATGGAGTTGGACATGCTTAATTACTTGCACAATTCTTGTAGCTTATGCTTTACTTATTTTTATGTAATTAGTTCACATAATTGAACACAATTTGTGGTAATGTTATATTCTCTTTGCTTCAAAAAGTTGTATTCTTTGATTTTTTTTTCTCATATATTAAAAAAATATTCATTATTATATGGTATTAACATTTTTATTCATACTATATTAAAATATTATTTTTTAGAATTGTATTTAAATTATATTTTACAAAATGGTTTTAAGAATCTAGTTATTTGGTTCATTGTTCACAGTTAATTAATATTATGTTATTTTAAATAATATTTTTTTCATCAATTCTTTCATATTATTTTTTTTCAAAGCAAAAAGGTCAAATTTTAAAAAATATAAACAGTAAATAATTCGTTTGCCAAAACTAAGCAAAAAGGTCAGCCTCCAAAATACGGTCACCAGCACTCGTACTCTTTGATTGGATTGAAAAACTTTGGTTTCACAGAACCTTTGTCATGACAAAAACAAACATGTTCTCTTTCATAGATATTATAATTTTATAATATATCAAGAGTAATTAGTGACATGTATAATAATTACTTTATAAATCCACTTTAAAGAAAAAGGAAAATAGGAGAGAGAAAATAAAAAAATTTGAACAGACGTGAAAATTTTCTTATCGATTTTGATGAATATGGATGTAATTTTATTATTTTTTATGTGTCTATTTTTCTCTTTGAAGTGGATTCATAAAGTAACTATTATACATGTCATTAATTACTTCGATGTATTATAAAATTTATGTAGAAAATTAAAACACAAGATAAGAATACTATTCTTTTTTTGTTGACCAAGACTCAGAATCACTTGGACTGTGACTCAAGCGTACTTTGTTGTTCTTCTCAATGCCTTTCAGCTATTCATTCTTTTATTTCATCTCTGCTTCGACCATTTCTAGCCACTTTTTTTCTCCTTTCTAATTGTCAATTTAAAACATTTATTTTGTTTGCTTAATTATTGTTATTTCACTTGGTGGTGCCGTCCAGTTACATTCTTGCTTTTACTTTCGTCTTTTTTCTTCTCCTTTTTTCCTGCCCTTTTGGTAACTAGCTCCTTACTTGGACAAAGCAATTGATGCTCAACATTGATTTTTCTGCACCATCATTTCTTTTCCTTGAAATACGCCACAAGTTTTGTTAAAGTTTTTTTTTTTTCATTTTGGTCCTTATATAACAAATATGTTTTTGTTCGGTTTCTTAAATTTTAAAATATTTAAAATGATCCTAAACTATATATGAATAATTTGACACATATTTAACAAGTATAAAATATTTTTTAATAGAGAGTAGATTTTGCATAGTTAACATAATTTGAAGCTGTATTAATTAATATGAAAATTTTATATTGTTATCTAAAGTAGAATTTTATCTTTTTTTTATTATTAATTTTAGAACATATTTTAGGGGTATTCATTATGGTATTATAAAAATTTATTTTGAAATATTTGTGATTTGTTTGATATTTTTGAATTTAATTTTGTTTATTGAATTATTTAAAATTATTTACAAGAATACTAAAACACATGGGTTATTTATTATTTTTTTCTGTTCACACAAACTCATTCGCATTACTCACCCACGTTCATTTGTAATGTTTTCACTGTTGGTGACCAAGTTTGTCAAAGTTTTTCATTTCGATCCCTCATGTTTTCAAAAACAATTATTTTGATTTCGAACTTCATTTGTGTTGCTTTTTCACCCTTGATAGCTCGAAGGAAAGATAAACAGAGAGAGAAGGAGGATACGAGAGAGTGGGACGGTGAGATCCATTACGACTATCTCAACAAACGCAATCACCATCATTTTGTTTGTCTCGAATAGTATAATCTATTTATAATAATTACAAGCTATGAAATGATTGGATAAGTAATATAAGGATTCAAAAATGTTTTGAGTTTTTTTTTATTTAAAATTTTATAAATTTTGTATGTATTAAAATAAAATTTGAGGTTTTAAACAAGTTTTTTTTTTATGATTTTAAGTATTTATTTTTTTATTTACAAAAATAGGGCTAGATTTGGTTTTGGAGTGTCAAAAATTAAGAAATCCGACTTTTCTTTTACTATTTGGCAAAATCAAAATCGTCGAAAATGAAAAAAAACCATTTTTTTCCAATCCTGGCTTATGCGGACCTATTGATTTGTTTTTTTTTATTTAACATTTTTAATTGATAATTTTTAAACAAAAATTATAGAAATCAAATAAGTTTTATATGCAATGCATCTTGTATTAAGTAGGACAAGATAATGTGATTTTTAATCTTCTCTATATGTACTAAACCCTCACCTAAAACTCTAAACAGATCAATTATATGGTTTCTTAATAACCATAATACTAAATGACGACTTCATTTATTTTTGCCCATTTCTTATTTCTCGAAACTCATTGTCTTGATACCGACATCGCCCTACAACATTGTAAAAAATATTTTTTTAATTTTTTTTTTTTGAATTCTTCATCCTTTCGTTTAAATCACTATAAATTTTTTACTTAACTATCAATGTATAAAGAATAATAAATTATGGTTTTTTAAATAAAAAAAAACTTGTGAAAAAACATAAAAATAATTGAATATAAAATTTTAATTAAAAAATTTAAAAATAATTTTGTTCCGTCTAACAACCACCTAGTTGTACAGTACGGCGAACTAATGATAACTGTTGGTCCCTGACCTGGCTCATCAGTGGCCAATCACATGCATGAGATACGAGAGATCCCACCTACCTTCTAAAATATGCAAGAACAATTTCAAAATGGAAAGTAAGAGGCAAAGTCTTGATTGCTATATAAAACCAAATCTTATCAGAGTAAATTATTTTTGTGCCACCTCACAAAAGTTTCTTGTCCACTTACTTTCTTCCACAACCCATCCTACACTTCTGTTAGTGCTTGTTTTTGTTCTGTCTCTCAAGAAGGAGAGCAATGGAGGAGGCAGTAGTTCTATACCCTTCACCACCTATTGGCCACTTGGTTTCTATGGTGGAGCTAGGCAAACTCTTACTCACTCATAGACCTTCCCTTTCCATTCATATTCTCGTTGCTGCTTCACCCTATATTGCAGGCAAAACTGATAAATACATTGTCACTGTTTCTGCCATCGTTCCTTCCATCAGATTCCACCATCTCCCCGCCGTTACCCCAGTTTCCACTACTGTAACCCACCATGAAGAGCTCACTTTGGAGGTCCTTGACCTTAGCAAACCGTATGTTCATGAAGAACTCTTCAACATATCCAAAAAGTATAAAATTCATGGCCTTATTATGGACTTCTTTTGCACTTCTGGTCTTTCTGTGGCCAATGAAGTTAACATCCCTAGTTACTTTTTCATTACTTCTGGTGCTTGTTTTCTTGCTCTTTTTCTTTACCTCCCTATCCTTCACCAAAACACCAACAGAAGTTTCAAAGATATGAAAGATTGCCTCCTTGATATTCCTGGCTTGCCACCTCTTCTTGCTACTGATGTGCCAAAGCCTTTTCTTGAACGAGACAATAAGGCCTATGAATACTTTCTTGATTTTGCCACTCAATTCCCTCAAGCAGCAGGAATTATGATCAACACATTTGAATCGCTGGAGTCCAGAGCTGTTAAGGCAATATCAGATGGGCTCTGTGTGCCTAATAACTGCACACCACCGATTTCTTGCATAGGTCCATTGATTGTAGCTGATGATAAAAGAGCTGGTAACAGCAAGACTAGTGAAGAAATGCATGAGTGTATAACTTGGCTTGATTCCCAACCAAGCCAAAGTGTTGTGTTTCTTTGTTTTGGTAGCTTGGGGCTGTTTCCCAAGGAGCAGTTAAGGGAGATAGCCATTGGGTTGGAAAAAAGTGGACATACGTTCTTGTGGGTGGTTCGGAATCCACCTTCTCACAATCTTAGTGTAGCCATCAAAGCACAAGGAGACCCTGATTTGGATTCTTTGCTTCCTGAAGGTTTCTTGGGACGAACTCAAGAGAGGGGATTTGTGGTGAAGTCATGGGCACCACAAGTAGAAATTGTGAACCACAGTTCAGTAGGTGGATTCGTGACTCATTGTGGGTGGAATTCTACACTTGAGGCAGTGTTTGCTGGTGTGCCAATGGTGGCTTGGCCATTGTATGCAGAGCAAAGGCTGAATAGGGTAGTTTTAGTGAAGGAAATGAAGCTTGCTTTGTCCATGGATGAGTCTGAAGATGGATTTGTGAGCGCTGATGAGGTCGAGAAGAAGGTTAGGGGATTGATGGAGTCTGAGGAAGGCAAAGAGATTAGGGAGAGAGCTATCGCTACGAAGATTGCAGCCAAGGCTGCAATAAGTGAAGGTGGATCTTCTCATGCGGCATTGTCAAAGCTTCTTGACTCATGGAAGCAGGAAAAATGAGTAAAATCTGCTGACCCGTTTTACTGTTGGTGTTTAATGTTTTACTGGGTCATATTTAGTTGGTAAATAAAAGGGGTAAAAATGAAAACTGGTCGAAACATTCTTATTGCTGGGAAAAAAAAATAAAATTGCAGCCACCTGCCATCGTCTTGGATTATTATTATTATTATTATGTTATCTTATTGTTATCTGTATAACCTCTGAAAAAGTACGAGTGTTTGTTTCTTAATTAAGAAAAGTAATTCTTACACCTGCCTATTTAAAAACTTGTTTGTTTGTCATCTTATAGCAGTCTTATGTGATGTTGGCAATCCACCTACCTGTTTGAAAAACTTGTTCTTTAGTAAACTCAATCAGTGATAATTTTGCTTCATTTTCTTTTGTTCAAAACAATTCTAATCAAAAGGCTTGACTTAGTTCATCACTGAATTTGTTTTTCATGTTATCATTTAGGATTTGAATCTTACGTACGTAACGTGGATTAATCATAAAAGAATAGAATTTTTCAAATATAACAGAAAAATAATAAAAAGTTAAATTGTCGATGAAGTTAGATAAAAAAAAAACTTAATAATTAGATTTTTTATTAAAAAAAATGAGTTATTTTGTTTTTCAAAATAAAAGGGATTAATTTATAATTTATTGAAACTTAATATCATGAAACTCATACTAAATATATTTAAAAGAAAGATGATGTATAACGACGTGCCATGTTCGTTTTAAAGTTCAAAATCCTTGGCAACAAAAGTCCGTAAAAGACACATCAAACATGCGACCTTATTGCCAATTTATATGACAAAAATATATGAGTGATTTTTAAAAAGTATAGTTGTCATTGTAAAAAAAAAATGTTATTTAAACGATATATTAAATAAATTATAAATTTCAACATAATTTTATATTTATATATATTTAAAATTTTAATATTTTATAAATATTATATTTATTATAAAAATATTATTTTTAATTTTAGATAAGATCATTATCAGATTGGATCAAAATATATTCGAATTTAATTCGTTTAATAAAGGAATTAATAGGTTTAGATTATAATCAGATTTAAATAAAAAATATTTATTGAATTTATTTAATTATATTGTATTCAGAATAAAATCTGATCCATTTACTCGGTGTTAGAAAAAACTAATTATTTATGTATAAAAATAATGATGATCATTAAATTAAAATGTTTAAAAATTAGACATCTATCTCAGTTTGAGCAAAAGTTGTCGGTCCTTTAGGATATCCGGCCTTCCTTTGCTATATATGTCCAGAGACACACAAAGAAAGTACTCAACAGAGAGAGGCAGCCATGGAAGAAGCAATAGTTCTCTACCCATCACCAACTATTGGCCACTTGATTTCTCTGGTGGAGCTAAGCAAACTCTTACTCACCCACAAATCCTCTCTCTCCATTCACATACTCTTGCCCACAGAGCCATACAGCGCTGGCAAAATGGATACATACATCGCCGCCATCTCAGCCACCTATCCTTCCATCAAATTCCACAATCTCCCCACTGTCACCCTCTCTACCACCACCGCAACCCACCATGAAACCTTCATTTTTGAGGTCCTCCGTTTGAGCAAACCTTTGATACGTGAACAGCTTCTCTCCATCTCTAAGAAGTATACCATTCGTGGCATTATTATAGACTTCCTTTGCACTTCTGGTCTCTCTCTGGCCACAGATCTCAACATCCCTGCTTATATTTACATTACTTCTTGTGCTTCCTTTCTTGCTTCTTATCTTTATCTCCCTACTCTTCATGAAAAAACCACCAAAAGTTTCAGAGATATAAAGGAGTTTCTTGATATTCCTGGCTTGCCTCCACTTCGTGGCACTGACATGGTCAAGCCATTTCTTGATCGTGATGATGATGCCTATATAAATTTTCTTGATTTTGCCATTCAAACACCAGAAGCCAAAGGAATCATCGTCAACACCTTTGAAGTTTTGGAGTCCGAAGTTATCAAGACAATATCAGATGGACTCTGTGTGCCGAATAATCGCACACCGCCACTTTTCTGTGTTGGTCCATTGATTCTAGCTGATGGCCGGCAAAGAACAGGAGGAGGTAGCTGCAAGACTAGCTCTGATGATGGTGTGCCTGAGTGTCTGACCTGGCTCGACTCCCAACCAAGTCAAAGCGTTGTGTTTCTTTGTTTTGGTAGCTTGGGGCTATTTTCCAAGGAGCAGTTAAAGGAGATAGCTACTGGGTTGGAAAGAAGTGGCCAGAGGTTCTTGTGGGTAGTTCGCAATCCACCTGCTGACAATATAGGCGTAGCTATAACAGCACAGGCAGATCCTGATTTGGATTCTTTGCTTCCTGATGGTTTTTTGGAACGCACTAAAGAGAGAGGTCTAGTGGTTAAATTATGGGCTCCCCAAGTGGAAATTTTGAACCACAGTTCAACGGGTGGATTTGTGACTCATTGTGGGTGGAATTCTACGCTTGAAGCAGTGTGTGCTGGTGTGCCATTGGTGGCTTGGCCATTGTACGCAGAGCAAAGGCTGAATAGGGTAGTTTTAGTGGAGGAAATGAAGCTTGCTCTGTCCATGAATGAGTCTGAAGATGGATTTGTGAGTGCCGATGAGGTAGAGAAGAAGGTCAGAGGGTTGATGGAGTCTGAGGAGGGTAAATTGATTAGGGAGAGAGCTATTGCTATGAAGAATGCAGCCAAGGCTGCAATGGACGAAGGTGGTTCTTCTCATGTGGCGTTGTCCAAGCTTGTCCAGTCATGGAAGCCTGAAAAATAAAATTTACTTGGCCTTGTTTATGATCATCAGCTGCCATGATCATGTTGGCATTTGATTTGGTTTTTCTTATTTTGCTTGTAATAAGATCAATGTTCAGTTCTTGTTATGGTGCTGTTTGCATAGCAATATTGCTTCATGAATAAAACAAGAATATAAATTAACCATGCTAGAATTCTTCCTGAGAGCTCAATGATTTATTGTTCTTTACACCAATATGGAAAATTTGAGATATAGGAATTATTTAATGTTGAATGAGATTACGAGATACTCTTCAATTCAGGTAAGTGGAAGATATGTTGATGGAAATAATAATTTAATTAGTAAATTTAATAGAATTCTTGAGTAAATTATAGATTAGTTCTTTTAATTTTGAAAAATAAATAAATTAATTTTTTTAAATCAATTATTTAATTCTTATATTTTTAAATTTTTTTGTAACTAATTTTGTTTTTTTTCTTTAATTTATTTTGACTGATTGTTTAAAAAAATAAAAAAATATAAAAAGATTGACGAGAAAGTATGATATTATTTATAAAAAATAAATTAAATGAAATTAACACTAATTAAATAATTAAATAATTAATTTTTTAAATAAAAAACTAATTAATTTGCTTTTAATTTCTTAAAAGTAGAGAGACTAATTTATAATTTACTCGCTATATGTTTGGAACTGAGCTTTCATTATCTTCCACAATAACCTGATAAGGGGAGCCCACAATGCCATAATAATAGATCATCATTGGTGTATTTAATAAAACAAAAGCATTAAATAATGCAACTGAGTTGTCTATTGTTGACGGAGTAAATTATAAATTAGTCCCTTTTGTTTTAAAAAATAAATTAATTAGTCCCTCTTATTTTAAAAATAATTATTTAATCTTTATATTTTAAAATTTACTCGTAATTTAATATTTTTAAATTTAAATTTATTTTTTATTTAAAAATAAAAAATTATGAAAAATTATAAGAAAATAAGATATTTTTTAAAATAAAAATAATATTAAATTAAATATAATTAACACTGATTAAATGATAAAATAATAATTTTTTTAAAAAAAGACTAATTATTTAAAACAAAAAAACAATAAAAGGACTAACTTATAATTGAATTATTATTGGTGCCCTCATCATCACTCCACGAACCTTTTTCAGTACTAAGCTTTCGTTATCTTCCACGATATATATATATATATATATATATATATATATAGAGAGAGAGAGAGAGAGAGAGTTTGAACTTTTTCAGTTTTTCTATTTAGTGCTTGTATTTTTATTTTTTACCATTTAAATGTGTCAATTTTTAAATTTTTTTTAATTAAATGATTTTATTATATTAATTAATTAATTAATTATATATATATATATATATATATATATATATATATATATATATATATATATATATATTTACGCGATCATTAAAATTGATACTTTGACAAACACAATCAAATGAAAAAAAAAATTATGCATAGTTGACGAACACTTTAACCTATAAATTTTCAATTTCATCCTTGATTATGCAGGGATGATGAGATCTGAGGAAAAGAGAGAGAAGTGCAAAGGAAGTCTATAATAATGTCACAAATCTTTTTTTTTAATTATTTTATATTTTTCCTATTTTTTTAGATATAAAGATAATTTGGATATTATACAAAAATAATAAAATAATTTGCAAAGGAAAGCTTTCTTTGAAAAGAAAATGGAAAAATTATAATTCAATAGTCTGAAGAAAAGAATATGCCATTAAATATCAGAGTAATTGGTAAAAATTTAACGAAAAATACTTAATTGATTGTTTTGAAAAAAATTAATATATTTAAAAAATAAAATAAAATTTATATCTAATTTTTTGTAACTAATTATTTAATTCTTATATTTTAAAATTTTTTTGTAGTTAATTTTTTTCTTCAATTTATTTTGATTGGTTGTTTAAATAAATGAATAAAGATTGAAGAGACAATAAAATATTATTTATAAAATTAAATTAAATTAATACTAATTAAAGAAATAAAAAATTATTTTTTTAATAAAAAAATAATTAATTAATTTGTTTTTAATTTCTTAAAAGTAGAGAGACTAATTTATAATTCGAAATTGCCTGGCAACCCTATAGTGACAGACATCATTTCTAAAAATAAAAAGTTTTTAAGAGTAAACTTGAATCTAATACTTTTTTTACAACCCTATAGTGAAAATTTCAGACTAGGATTTTGTAACACTACCCTTATAAAATTATGATAATTTTTTTTACACTACTAACATCATGTAACACTACGCTTTATAATTTACTCGGTATATGTTTGGAACTGAACTTTCGTGACCTTCCATAACAACATGATAGGTGGAGCCCACAATGCCACAAGAGATAATGCAACTGAGTGGTCTATTATTGATGGAGTAAATATAAATTAGTCCATCTTGTTTTGAGAAATGAATTAATTACTTTTTTTTTTGTTTTAAAACTAATTATTTAATTTTTATATTTTAAAATCTATTTGTAATTTAATCATTTTTAATCTATTTTGATTTTTTATTTTAAGATATATAAAAATATGAAAAATATTAATAAAAAAATAAGAGATTTTACGAAATTAAATATGATTAACACTGATTAAAGAATTAAATAATAATTTTTTGAAATGAAAAAGATTTATTTATTTATTTTTTAAAACTAAAAGGACTAATTTATAATTTACTCGTTATTATGCCCTCGACCTCGTTGTCATCATGACCCCACAAACCTTTTCGGGACTAAGCTTTCATTATCTCAACAACATATATATATTGAGAACTTTTTCAACCTTTTCTATTTCGTGCTTGTATTTTTATTTTTTACCATTTAAATGTGTGAATTTTTAAAATGTTTTTAATTAAATGATTTTATTATATTTCATTAATTAATTATATATTTACGTAATCATTAAATTGATACTTGACATTTGACAAGCACAATCAAATGAAATAAATTTTTTATGCATAGTTGACGAACACTTTAACTTATAAAATTTTCAATTTCATTCTTAATTATGCAGGGATGATGAGATCGGGAAAAGAGAGAGAAGAAGTGCAAAGGAAGTCTATAATAATGCCACAAATCATATATTTTTTTAATTGTTTTATGTTTTTCTATTTTTAGATATAAAGATGATTTGGATAGTATAAAAAATAATGAAATAATAAAATAATTTGAAAAGGAAAGTTTTCTTTAAAAACAAAATGACAAAATTATAATTTAATAGTCTAGAGAAAAGAATATGTCATTCATTAAATATCAGAGTAATTGGTAAAAATTTAACGAAAAATACTTAATTAATTGTTTTGAGAAAAAATAATATATTTAAAAAATAAAATAAAATTTATATACTTAATTGAAAAAAGTTAAACAATTCTCTTACTATATTTATAAACAAATGTTTTTTTGTCAGTATAAAGTTTGTGTGACACTAAACAAATTTTCCAAATGCCAAAAAAGATTACAAGTGCATGTGCCTGTGTTTTGGAAGTCGAACCCATCGATAAAGCTTCGCGTGGGGGTAACTATGGGGCCTTCTAAGAGATATAACGTTACCACACGCTGCGTTCAACTACACAAAATATATATATATTTTTTTTCAAAGAAAGTAAATTTTTAATAAAAAATGCTCGGTAGCATCATGGTGGTGACATGTATCATTTTTTAAAATAGAAAAGAATTTAAGAATAAATTTAAAAAATAAAAATATTAAATAATATAATACCAATTAAAATAAAATATTTTTTTTTGTATTTCTTTAAAATAATACTATCGTTATAAAATTATGATGAGTTTTTTTGCATGCTGTTATGGATTCTTCAGATTTTGCATGCTGGCTGGAAGTATATTAGAATATTAGAAGTTAGGTCTGTCAATGATGGCTTGCTTACTTAGCAATGTCATGCATTTCTAATCTTTCTCGTGACTTCTTGTTGCCTGATTCCAACACAAGATCCAGTTCTCTCTCTCTCTGTCTCTGTTATTGTTTTTTTTTTTTTCTTTTATAGCTGTAGAAGAATTCGAATCAAAATCTTCTTAAACATATCCGAGATAATTTTAATAGTTTAAACAAGTAATCTTAAATTCGAATCTTCATACATATAAAAAAAGTTTTAAATAGCTGTTTGTATCTTATATATCTAATAAAATAATATCTGATTAATCTGTATCTTTAAGTCTGGGATACATTAAAAAATAAAAAAAGGTTTTTTCAAAAATTAAATATGAACTTCATTGAAGGACAGAGACGTGAATTTTAGATTCCTTTTGTCTTGAGCAATGCATGGTGCTGAATCATGTTTCTCGGTGGATTCCAGCCTCTAAATATATGGAATAATAAATTATAATTATCACCATCGTCTTTTCAAAAATCTTATCGTAGAATATAATAATGTTCATTTCATTTGAATGCGTTGGTCAACATAGTTAATAGTGACATCAATATATAATTAATAAAATATAACAACCATCATATGATTAAAAACCTAGGAGAATAGGTTTGAACGAAATAAATTTTAATTATTTAAATAAATTATTTTGATTTTAAATTTTTATATATATATAAAATTTATTAGATAATTGTATCTATTTTATATATTAGATCGAATAGTAAGAGACTATTCTGGACTTTTAAACTTAGAATATCTTAAAAAATTAAAAAATTTCATATTCAAATCATAAAAATAAAATACAAGCAATAAATAAAAAATTTGAAAATTAAAAAGTTCATACACACATATATATATATATATATATATATATATATATATATATATATATGTATGTATATATATATATATATATATTTAGTAATTTTCTTCTTCTCATGAGCACAATTAGTCAACTACACTACTACAGTCCACCCCACCACCATCGTCATCATCACTCCACGAATCTTTTTCAGTGCAAAGCTTCCATCATCTTCCACGACAACGTGATGGGGAGCCCACAATGCCATAAGAGATAATTATTGATGTATTTAATAAAAGAAAGCCTTGAATAATGCAACTGAGCTGGCTATTGTGGATGTATTGCTATTGCTTTTAAGGCTACATTCAAGCATATCATTTTCAATTTCCTCTTTCCAAAAAAAAAAAAAAAAAAACAAAAGCACTATGTTCCAAATATATAGGAGTAAATTATAAATTAGCACATCTTATTTTGAAAAACGAATTAATTAATCTCATTAGTTTTAAAAATTAATTATTTAATTTTTTGAATCAGCATTAACCACATCTATATATATATATACATATAACCTTTTTTCTCATAAATCTTTTCGTATTTTTATTTATTTACAATCTTTTTTCATGTCTTAAAATAAATAAATTAAAAAATATTTAAAAAATAAATAATTATTTTTTAAAATAAAAAGATTAATTAATTGGTTTCTCAGTGCAAGAGAGACTAATTTATAACTTATTCAAATATATAATTGATTGAATTCTAGTTTTGGCCAATCAAGTAAAGATTTTTTTTTCCAATTGTACCCCTAACTATTGAGATTTTAGTAAAATAAGTTCTTTAATTTGATCTATTTTAACTTTAAATAATTATTTTTTGAACAATTTTTGTCACTCTCTGTTATATCTATGTCCAATTATCAAAGTTTTTATGGTGAATTGAAATGCTTAAGAAACGGTTAAAATTATTTGAGCATTTCATTTTTTTAAAATTATTTTGAGAAAAAAATTAATTATTGTAAAAGATGAAATTGAGTCTAGATTAGTGAAAGCTATTCAAGTAATTTTTTTTTTTGCAATTATTATTTTTTTCAAAATTAATTTCAAATGTGAAAAGAAAATTAAAATATTTAAAATTACGTCATTTTAAGCGTTTCAGTTAATAATCAAAACTTTAACTGTTATATATAACGAAAAAAAGATAAAATTTATCTGAAAAATGATAGTTTAAGATCAAAATAGATCAAATTAATAGTTTAAATATTATTTTACTAACATCCAATAATTTTGTGGTAAACTATGCCGTCAAATCGGTTTTTTTGTTTTTTGTTTTTTTGAACTGAAATAATTATGGAATACCTCGTAACCTCATTCAACCTTCAACGATTCCTATATCTCAATTTTTCCTACAATGGTGTACAAAAACAAGAAATCATTGAACTCTCAGGAAGAATCCTAGCATGTTAATTAATTAATATTCTTGTTTTATTATTCATGAAGCAATATTGCTATGCAAACAGCACCATAACAAGAGCTAATCAATATTTATAACCAAAATACCAACATGATCATGGCAGCTGATGATCACTGCAGCTTCCATGACTGGACAAGCTTGGACAACGCCACATGAGAAGAACCACCTTCATCCATTGCAGCCTTGGCTGCGTTCTTCATAGCAATAGCTCTCTCCCTAATCAATCTACCTTCTTCTGCCTCCATCAATCCTCTAACCTTCTTCTCCACCTCATCAGCACTCACAAATCCATCTTCAGACTCATCCATCGACAAAGCAAGTTTCATTTCCTCCACTAACATTACCCTATTCATCCTTTGCCCTGCATACAATGGCCAAGCCACCAGTGGCACACCAGCACACACTGCTTCAAGTGCAGAATTCCATCCGCAATGAGTCACAAAACCACCTGTTGAACTGTGGTTCAAAACTTCCACTTGAGGAGCCCATAACTTCACCACTAGTCCCCTACCTTTTGTTCGTTCCAAGAAGCCATCAGGAAGCAAAGAATCCAAATCAGGATCTGCCTGTGCTGTTATAGCTACGGCTAGATTATCAGCAGGTGGATTGCGAACCACCCACAAGAACCTTTGGCCACTTCTTTCCAACCCAACAGCCATCTCTCGTAACTGCTCCTTGGTGAAGAGCCCAAGCTACCAAAACAAAGAAACACAACACTTTGGCTTGGTTGGGAGTCAAGCCAAGTTATACACTCAGGCACATCATCAGGACTGGTCTTGCTGCTACCACCGCTTTTGGAGTCAGCTAGAGTCAATGGACCGACACAGAATAGCGGCGGTGTGCGATTATTAGGCGCACAGAGTCCGTCTGATATTGCCTTAACAGCTTTGGACTCCAGCAATTCAAACGTGTTGACCATAATTCCTGCTGCTTGAGGGAATTGAGTGGCGAAATCAAGAAAGTATTGATAGGCCTTATTGTCACGGTCAAGAAAAGGCTTTGGCACATCGGAAGCAAGAAGTGGCGGCAAGCCAGGAATATCAAGAAAGTCTTTTACATGTCTGAAACTTTGTGTATAGTTTTGATGAAGCTTAGGGAAGTAGAGAAAAAAGGCAACAAAGCAAGCAGCAGAGTAATGAAAAAGTAACCTGGGATGTTGAGTTCAGCTGCTACAGAAAGACCAGAAGTGCAAAAGAAGTCCATAATCAGGCCATGAATTTTATACCTTTTGGATATATTGAGGAGTTCTTAATGAACATGAGGTTTGCTACGGTGAAGAATCTCTAAAGTGATTTCTTCAGGGTGGGTTACGGTGGTGGAAGTTGGGGTGACAGTAGGGAGATAGTGGAATTTGATGGAGGGAACGGTGGCTGATACGGTTGCAATGTATGAGTCAGTTTTGCCTGCACTATATGGTTCTGTGGCCATGAGAATGTGAATGGAGAGCGATAGGTGGTGAGTGAGCAAGAGTTTGCCCAGCTCCACCATGGATATTAAGTGGCCGATAGGCGGAGATGGGTATAGAACTACTGCCTCCTCCATTGCTTTTCCTCCCTGCTGAGATACTTCTTCAGAGACAGAACAAGATAAGCATTACAGAGGTGGAGGGTGGGGCGTGGCAAGGGGAAGATAATCAAGTAGGTGATTTAGTTGAAGTAAATTATAAATTAGTCCTTCTAGTTTGAAAACATTAATGAATTAGTATTTTTATTTTAAAAATTAATTATTTAGTTTTTTGATTTGTATTGATCATATTTAAATTTCTTTTTTTTTCTGACTGATATTTTCATAACATCTATTTTTCTTTTTTAAAGCAAATTAGAAAGGAATATAAAATGGAAAAATAAAACTAAATAATTAGTTTTGAAACAAGATGGATTAATTAATTTATTTTTCAAAACTAAAGGGACTAATTTATAATTTACTATGATATATTGCCATCAAGCCTTTTTCTTTCTTTGAATCTTCAAATTCTAAACATTCCCAAGTTCATTGTACCTTTACGCATGTTGTAGTCTTTGGAATTATTCCAAAAGCAGCTTTGCTTTTGTATTTTGAATCATGATTTTGATGTAATAAGTTTTTCAACTACCTTTTGGAATTGAGTTTTTTAAACAATGTTATTTAGTTATTGTATTTTTCCAAGAATATGATTGAAAAAGAAATAAAAAATTATTTATTTATTTTTTTTCCAAAAAAGGAGGACCTTAGAAAACTTACTAAATCATTATTTGAAATTTCAAACTAGTTCTTTGAAAAACTCAATAATGAATTTTCCTTTATTTTCTTGAAAGCTACAATAACTTGATAAAAAATTAGAAAAAAAAACTATTGCACGTGCCTGAATGCTTAGTTTGATTTATTGCTAGATTAATTAAAATTGAAAAAAAAATGATTTTACAAATAAATTTTTTATACTAAAATTCTATACAAACTAATGTGTCAAATGATAAACGACAAAGTGTGAATTTCATATTTAATTGTTGATTAGTCTTTGATGATAGAAATCTATGCTATTTATACTTTACACATAGGAAAGATAAACTTTAATATTATAGCAATCATAGAAAAGTGTTGGAAAAGTGTCGAAACTCGTAAAGATAAGATTTTGAATTTATCATCAAAACATCTCTTGTGATTATGACAATTATATGATCCAATTAACAATCAATTTTGATCATTGGTGAATTTGATAGGGGTGTTAATTTGAGTTTTCTAAGAATTTGTGATAAAATTCATCCAATTAGTTCAAAATAAAATAAATATGATAAAATTAGTTCAAAATAACCTAATTCTTTTAATTCTTTTTTATAAATAAAACCAAACTATTCATTCATGTCTTATGTGTCAAATATCTAAAGAGGGTCAATTGTTTAAGTAAAATATAAATTAGTCCTTCCAGTTTTGAAAAATAAATTTATCAACCTTTTTTGTTTTAAAAAATAATTATTTAGTTTATCTGTTTTCAAAACCTACGTATCACTTAATCATTTTCCTTCTTTTCCAATTTATTTTGATTTTTTATTTTAAGAAATAAAAAAAATTAAGTAAAAATATGAAAATATTGATCAGAAAATAAAATATTTTATGAAATAAAGTAATATTTTAAATTAAATAGCATCATCAAATGATTAAATAATAAAATTTTAAAATGAAGGGGACTAATTAATTTTTTTAGAAACTAGAGGGACTAATTTATAATTTACTCCACATTGTTTTCACAAAACTCAAGCTTTGGGCCAATTTCAAGCTTACACTTCAGTGGCCAATCCTTCTTTAGCCCAGAACAAAAACACCAGCAAAACCCTCAATCTCCAGCTGCATTCACCGCAAAAAAGAGAGAAAAATTTTAGCTTCCCGCCTCTGAAATGCAAGAAAAAGAAACACTTTAGTGAGAAATCCAGAGATATCATCATCAAAAAAATTCCTAAAAAATGGTGAAATCCAAGAAGGCAGAAGCCAGCAATTCTAATAGAGAAAACCCAGACGTGTTAGAGAGAAGAAGACTGAAAAAGCTTGCTATAACCAACAGCGTAGTATCAGACACTCAAGTCAAGACTCCATATTCATTGAACCCATCAAAAACTGTTGCAAAACATCATGGTAAAGATATTACTAGGAAATCTCAAAGAAAAAACAGGTTCTTGTTTTCTTTTCCTGGTCTTCTTGCTCCTATTAATGGCGGTGGCAAGATTGGCGAGCTCAAAAACTTGTCCTCTAAAAACCCTGTCCTGTACCTTGATTTTCCTCAGGTTTTGACTTAACTTTTCTGGGTTTTGTTTGTTTTTGGATTTTGATTTGTGGGTCAATGTGTTCCTGGGTTTTGATGGTGATGTTGAATGAATGACATGCCGTTTTTGTTGTTGTTTTACAGGGACATATGAAGCTGTTTGGGACTATTGTGTATCCAAAAAATAGATATCTGACATTGCAATTCTCAAGGAGTGGAAAGAATGTTATGTGTGAGGATTATTTTGATCATATGGTATGTTTCTTTCTTTCATCTTTTCACTTAGCTAATTGGTTGTTTGTCTGTTTATTTTACTCATTGCCTTCTAAGTGTGATAAGTAATTTGTTACATGATCATGAACCTTCTTTCCTTCAGCAAATTGTTGGCAGTGGGTGAAGTGTGATGCAAGCACTGATATTTATCCATTTTGTGATGAACCCAGATTGTATTTTCTGAGGCATGGTGGATTGGAACGAAAGAAGAGAACCCGGAAGAATTGAAACTCGATTTTCCGAAGGATTTGCTTGAGGTTGTTTCTCTTTTATGCATCTGTCAAAGAAAAGGTGTTAAAATGGAAGATATCTTTGGTCCTTTTTTTTAACTGATTGTTGGTTTCAGGTAAAAGCTGTTGAATGTGATTTTAAAGGCGGCGCAGGAGCAGGATCTGTGAATAAGCAAGTATTTCAAAAAATTAGTGGAACGAAATATGTAAAAGAAGAGTCTCCAGAAACTGAGCTTGATGATGATGATTTATCAGATGATAACCAGGATTTGAAGGATGTGAAGGAAGTTACACCAATTCGGCAGTCTGCAAGAAATGCTAGAAAAACATTCAAGTACTGGCATAGCTTTCACTTAATACATAGTTACATAGACAACTTAGACTGCGTAAAGATGATTGTAGTTGCTGGATTTTTTTATTGTTCTAAATACCGAGCTTGTTTCTTCATTGAGGCAATTTTCTGGCTTTTTATTGACGGTTACATTCCATTTTCGTTTTGTAATGTTCTGAAATTTTCTGCACTCTCTGAATGCCTACTATACAGCTTTTCAAAATCTCTTATTTTCTCTGAAAAACTACAAAGTAGAGCTGTTCGACTTGCAAAAGAAGGCTAATTTTGAAGAACCTCTGTAGAAAAAAAAAAAAAATCATCTTACCGAGTTAGGTTTAGCAAAATAGGAAAAATCACTGATTATCCTGATAGCAATATCATTTTTTTTTTTTTTTTTGCATATCATATATCGATGCAGTCTCTGGTACACTTTTTTTTTTTTTTTTTTTTTTGCATTTCTTAGTTATCTGCTTTCCAAGTTTCTATTTCTGTGTACTTGTAGTTAACCATGCATTTTAGAAATTTGGTGTGTATTCATCTTCAGCTTATTGTTCAATCAGTTTTGCTGAAGTTCCTTCGGGAGATGATTCTGCTGAGAGAAGTCCTGATGCCGTAGAGGAGGTGGAGGAGGAAGAGGAGGAAGAAGAAGAAGAAGAAAAGAAAGTATGCAAAATACTTTTTTTTTTTAATTAAGAATCATATGGTTGGTAGTGGTACTATCAAAGTTTCATGTAATTTGATTAGTCAGTATGACATTCCGTATGCTTCTGCTATTTCAAGCTTTCAGTTTCACATTTTTTGTCTCATTTCTCTTGAATACTTTTTTCATTGGTCTTTCATGTACTCATTGAAGCATTCCTTCTTACTGATGATTTGGTCCCTGATCGGTCTTCCTTTTCCCAGGTGAAAACTAATAAGTCCTCTGCTGTAGTTCTCGACTTTGAAAGTGAGGATTCTAGAGAAGGAAATCATCTTTCTGAGCAATATCAAGCATCTGCTATAGAAGTGACCAAATCTAAAAAGCTCTCCAAGCCTGATGTTTCAGTGACAACACCTAAGGAGAACTCACACAATAATCATGGTTCGCTTGTCCAATCGACCATATCTACGCTGTTCAAGAAAGTGCAGAATAAGAAGAAAGTGGAGGAGAAGGTTAGATCTAAAAACTTCTAGGCTAATAGCTAAGTATATGTGTAGTTAGAACTTGTTAAGACACCATAATCTCTAGTATTTTGCTGTACAGTCACTGATTAGAACAACATAGGCTGACTTGACTGCACTTATCTAGGTAACCTTATCCCTTTTCAATAATGCCTACTTAAAAACAGGAGTAGTTGTATCGTTTCCGGGTGTGCCTTACCATGTACAGAGCATGCTATTTGTGCATGGTAATATGCATACATGCAAATCTCTGTTTGTAATTCCTGGTTTGTGCAATGTTTTATCTCTTTGAACTTGATTTCTTGTTTGAACTCCTGGTTTAAGCTTCCTATTTATCTATTACTAGAAATAGTTAGCATCATATAAGGGACTGATGATTCAGAAGAGAGTCATAACTGCTAAACCTTCCATCCAGCCTCATCCAATTGGTTGCATATATCAGTTCACTTGCCATCTTAGTTTCCTGATCAGTTCCCATACCGGTTGCTTTTTAAGACAGGACTTATTTCACACCAAAATTTTGCTCATGCTAATAATATCTTGTTGTTAGGATGAAATTGATATATCTTATTGTGTTAACAAAATTTAATAGGAATTATTTTTATCCATAACCAGGAGGCACCAAGAAATTCAAGGAAATCCCCATCATTAAAAGGTTTATTCTTTTCCTGATTGCTATTCTTATTACTCAATAATGCAAGCAGAAGATTCAGAAGAATATTTACTTTTGGTATTCCACAGTTTCTGGTCAGAAATTGCAGCAAACTGATTTGAAAAGGAAGATTGATCCGGTGAGAGCTAGCTTTGAGTATTGTATTCTTCGTGTTCTTTTTTTCTTTCATTGTAAACAACTGCTTGTAACGGAGCTATCTCCGACTCAATTTGTGCATTTTATGCATTTCATGTTGCAGGTTGAAGCACCTAGGAAAAGAGGAAAAGTTACTGAAGGGAAAAGAGCTGGTTACTCTCTTTCTCAGTCTTTCATAATATATTCTTTGGATTTTTAACAGTTTTGCTACGCTTTAGCTAAGGAGGATTTTATTTTGTTAAAAAAGATTTTTTTGTGTTACTTTTTGAAGTTTGCTATCCATTCCAAATGGTGTAAAGACAATAAGGTGTGTTGATTTCATTGTATGGTGTTAACTATTGCATCTAGTTTCATATCCCAGCTTCTAAAGACGTTATCATTAATTATCAAATAAAAAAATAAAAAGAAAAAAGACGCAATCATTCATTCTCGGTTCCATGAGATTACTGCAGCATTATTTTTTTTTTTTTTGGAAGAAAGCAATGAGTATGCCATTTGGATATGTGTATGTATGTACAAATGTCTCATGTCTATGTGATGGTCCATTTTCTGAATTATAGAATTTTTACTTATGTTGACATGCCTTGGCGATCCTTCATTCTAAACCTTCATATGCATAAGCTAGGTTCACATTCCTAAATATTAGGCAGCTTGAGCTAATTTATGTAACCATTGAAATTGATTTGATGTTGTCATAGGGACAGGAACCAAGGGAAAGGAGAAAGTGCATGAGGTATGAGTTGTTCTCTATTTAAAAATAATTGTTTCCTTGATTTTTATAGAAGAAAACAAGAGATTATATATATATATTTAACTCAATCAAGAATGAAAACCTTATGATTACATTCCTCAGCCCTTGGAAATGCTTGTCCTAATTTGACAAATAGTCAATAAGCATGTATGCATGTGCTGAATAAGAAATCTCGATGATGAGAGTTCTAAAAACTGCTAGCCTATCAATTTATTTTGTTTCCTCCTCCTCTTCTTCTTCTTTTTCTTTTCTATTTTTTGAAATTCATCTCCATGTTTTATTATTTTTCATAATGCGATGATTTTTTATCACTTCTCATATGGAATTGTTTTGGGAATTCACCACGTGATTGTTTTCTTTGCTTCAATTTTTTTTTCTTCTCTCTATTTTGGCAACCTCTACCTGCTGGCTAATGCACTAGAAGTTGATGCCTTCATTTAGAAAGCTGACTGTGTATGGCTCCTGTTTGAGGATCTATGTTTTTGACCTTTTGTAAATAGATATGTTGATTAATGATTACGGAAACTATGTAGGTTGAAGACGATGACATTGAAGAATTCTCAAGCTCATCACAGGTGCCAGCCCATTAAGTACTATGTGCTTGAATGCTGTTTTACGAACTTGAGTTCTAATTTCGGTGCCACGAAAATGTGCAAAATTTGGCATTTATTCAGATGACATATTGGTTTTGCTAAGTTCTTTGTACTATACATTTTCTCAGGATAATGAAGGAAGCGATGAAGACTGGGAAGCCTGAGATTGTAACTCAAATTTAGCAGATAGGAATACCAAAGCAAACCAACCTTGTACAAAGGCATTTGAACCTCCAAAATCTCTTCTGTAGGGAAGGCATGATTATATGTCTGGATTAAACTTCTGGGTTCTTTTCCAGATGCAAATTTATACATCCATGTCTGCTATTCTATATTGAAGAAGAATCAGTCAGTAATGTATGCAGCTTTGCACAGCCTGTATAGCACTAGTCAAATTACAAATTACATGAGTTGAACTTCATGATTCAGCTTTTCATGTCTGAGTCAGTAGCCAGGAACTTCTCGTTTGTTGATTTGTCAATTTTCTTAATTGTACTCTAAAAGTCATTTGCAATGAGGCTAAGGACCCTGTGATTGGGGTTCTGTTAAGAGTTAAATTTGTTGAGTTTTATTATTAGTCACTGTTGTTATTTGGCTCTTGACATACTATTGATATCACATACTATTAATATCACATCTTCCTCATCAATGTCCACGTTTTACAGATTCTGTTAAGAAACCTATGAACTCCATGAATCTACTCACCGCTGTTGCCGCAATGAATCGTGCTTTTTCTTCCTTGTTTTTACGATTTAAGCAACTGTTTTTCAGGTTGACAATTAAGGATATGCATACATACATGTTGAACACAGGTAAATACTGACCAAGCTGGAAAATGTTATTTGTTCAGATGATTTCAGTGTTTAGAACACCGGGGATAAAAAACACTGGAAGGATAATTAATTAGATGTCTCTTGATTCACCAAGTATGTGGTTCTTATGACTGGGATCCTAACCAGTTATCGATCCTGGTATTAGTTGACCTAGAGAAGAACCTCATACAAATTGGTGCTTTAACCCCTGCAAGAGCAAGTATTGAGTTGGGCAAAGTCCATATTCCATCTCCACAAATTAAACCAGAAGCTACAGCTGGTGCAAAAGCATCTGCCTTGGCCTTGTTCATCTCTCTCCAAACGAACAAAATCAGGCTTCCAACACACATATCAATGGCAAAATATGACCCGATATAGAAAGGTATGGCCATAGCCATTGGAAGAGGAATGAACTTTGCAAACTTTTTGCTTTTTTTCTCCATTACATCCTTGAATATGTTTATGAGGATAGCTCCACAGAAGAAGATGTAACAAAGCTTAAGGCAATTCTTCGGCAGAGTCGAAAAACCCTCCACCCCCAATATAGCCATATTACGGTGTACGACAGTGAAGGGAGCAGGATACTGACTTCCAGGAAGGCCAAGGTCATCAAAAGCCTTGTAGAAGAGCCAAAAGACACACGGAAAGATTATGCAACCCATTGCTGTGCCAATGACTTGGCTGACAAACATGGATCTAGGTGAAGCCAGGGTTAGGTAGCCTGTCTTTAAATCTTGCATCAGATCAGATGCTGTTGCGACAATGTTCATCATGACCCCGCATGCTGCTAGCCCTGCTAAAACTCCACCGTGTGCGGCTCCAGCCCATGCCCCAATCATGAAAATGGCAAGTTTTCCATACGTGGACGTGAGGGACCAATCCATTAGTCCGCATCCGTAAGCATTACAGAAAGCTAAAGTTGGTGCGCAAGCATAGACGACCAATATGTAGTTCCACTTCAGTTGGGGAAAGATGAGTGGAAGAATAGTAGTACAGGCGGTAGCAGTAGCAACATAGCCTGCGACAGCAAACCATGTTGGAATCTGATCTGTTAGAAAGAGTTGGGTGCGACGCTGGTCGTCGTAGGAGACCGTCGAGGTCTTGGGAGGAGGATTGCCATCCACTGGAAGAGCCGTTTTGGGATCTTTACCCTGGAGATGAATATACAAGCCCATAAGGGTTCGGCTTAGTACCTTGCAGAAGTTGTACAGACCATCCCCCAGGATCATGGCAATGGATATAAATACCTGGAAATCAGAATGTAAGCTTTAAGTCAATCTCAACAAAGGGTGAAAGCTTTTAAGAAGCAAGAAACATAGCAGAAATGTGTGACCTTGTAACCTTGAAGACCGTATAAACTTTCCGGGGTAAGTTCTTCAGGATACCAACCACCCTTTCTAGTTTGTATCAGAGGCCACATTACACCCCATGAAAGAATTCCTCCAAGCAAGACAGATACATTAATAATGTACGGGCAAATCATTCCTACCCCTACATATGTCACTGAGAGATCGAAGAAAAACCTGCAGAAAGAACCACGACAAAGCATTAGCCGAAACATTTAAAAATCTATATTGAAGCACAACGAACCTTGATGATGAAGATATGTTTGTTAATTCATAAAGAAGAATAAGGAAGGAAATCAAGAAATGTACAGACATGTTGTCATATGCTTCGAGTCCAAATGTAGGGAAGTTGGCAAATCCACAATGGTCTTCAGCCCTGAAAAGCCACTGGAAGAAACCCCATATGAAGCTGAAGGAGAAGAACTTTCCTAGAGCTTTTACTTGTTTCCTGCAAGATTATACGGAGACAAAAATCAAGATTACAAAATGTCAAAATTTTCATGTCATAAGATAGAAAACCAAGCAATGCTAGCTCAGTCGGTGTCCTTACTTTGCCAGCTTGGCTCCTTCAGGGGTGTGGAAGCTATTGATGATTTGGGCAGATGCAGTTCCACTTGGATATGTCAATTTGAAGTCTATGACCATTATCTGAAACCTATTGGAGTATGAGATTACAAGTAAGAAAGGAAAAATGAAACAACAATTTGTTTCAGAAAGTTGCATTCGTTTTCTGGACAGTTAAAAGTCTTTATATTATAACCTTTCTTAGAGGCACCACTGAGAATAGGCCGACAAAGCTGACAACAAAGAGAAATCCCATAATCCATACCAGAGCTGGATCTTTGATATCTTTTGCGCTAGCTAGATCAGCTGATTGCTCGGCAATCCGTCCACTCATTCCGAACAGGTAGGTCCCGAATCCTCCTATTCGTACGAAATTTATCAAAGAATATCATGATCAGGCTCTAACATGAAAACATAGAAATTGATGTTACTATTTCATTGAAGCGTCAAAATTGTTACCAGTAAAGGCGATGCCAGAGGAGGACACAACACATGTCTGGATGACAGTGTTCTCTTGTCTGGTTAATGGCTGATTCAAGAAGCCAGAATAATTCAGAAACTTTGTCCAGGTCTTCACAAAGAAAAAACCCAAGAGGCCAGCAGAAACATTCAGGGAAGGTATAATTCCTGTTGTGAGGTTCAGCTTCATCACTATAATGCTGAACATTATGCTTAGGATAAAGCTCACCCCAAAGGCCCTCCATGTCAGCTGATTTCTCCATGACGGCACCTCTAGCTTTGTAAATATCCTCTCCACCGATTCGTCTCTTTCTTCTTTCTCTACTTTCTTGTATTTTCAGTTATCATCATCATCTGCAATTTCCACATCTAACCTTTTTTCTACTTTCTCTTCTCTTACATTTTGATCCATTTTTCCTTCTTCCATTCCATTTTGACCCATTTTTCCTTATCACTATGCCTTGTGATTTCGTCTACAAGAATAAGGCAGAAGCTTGCCTTTTGAAGCATGAGATTGGAAGATAAACTATTATAAATCACAGAAAGGTGGAGAGTTAAGGATTCTACGTTAAACAAAGAACGTATTTGCATGGGGCCGAGCGTAATGTAGTTTGACTTACTCTGGTTTTTGCTCCTAGGGCTTAGATGCCATTACGAACGCGGCAATATTTGTCTATTCTGTTAACTTCTTCTCACATTTGTAGGACAAACCTAGAAAAAAATAAGACAATACTTATGCAAGCAAGCTTTTATAGTCTTTCTCGATGCATTTTATGATTTTTTGCTCTCTTTTCCCCTGTTAGATTACTAAGTCTGGCATGGTTTTATTGTGCGCTACTGACAACAACATAGCAGTTCCAGAAGGCCAAACCAATGCCAGATTGGACCACCTAATATTATAGCTAGCAAAATGAACAAACCTGATACCAAACGAAGCAACTCTTAGGAACCTGAAAAAGTTATGCATACTGGTGCAAAACTAGTATTAACATTAACCAGAAACACAACAGCTGCAAGGAATTGAACCCCAGAATATTAGCAGCAGTATTTGCGAGAATTGCCGCGTACTGTTGAGTGGAGCGACATGCAAACTAGGAGTGGAGCGATAGCAACTCTAGAATAAACGATACGTAGTGAAATGTAGAGCTAATTGCACGTGCAGTTGGGAAATGATTCACAGATAGAAGAGATAAACAGGGATAGCAACATATAGTGTCAACAAGAACCACCGAGGCACCGACCACTACCCCCCCCCCGGCTCGCCATCGAAGCAAACATCAAAACATATCAGAAGCAGAAGAAAAGGAAAAGTGCAGTGAAAACAAAGTCATTTGCAATGAGGCTAAGGACCCCGTTATTGGGGTTCTGTTGAGTTAAATTTGTTGAGTTTTATTATTAGTCAGTACTGTTGTTATTTGGCTCTTGAGAGACTGTTAATACTTAATATCGCCTCTTCCTCATCAATGTCCACGTTTTACAGATTCTGATAAGAAACCTATAAACTCCATGAATCTACTCGACATTCTTGCCGCAATGAATCGCGCTTTTTCTTCTTTGTTTTTTATGATTTAAGCAACTGTGTTTTGGGTTGAGAATTAAGGATATGCATAAATTTATGTTGAACATAGGTAATTACTAAACAAGCTAGAAAATGTTATTGTACAGATGACTTCAGTGTTTAGAACACCGGGGATAAAAAACACTGGAAGGATATTTAATTAGATGTCTCTTGATTCACCAACAAGTATGTGGTTCATATGACTAGGATCCTAACCAGTTATCTATCCTGGTATTAGTTGACCTAGAGAAGAACCTCATACAAATTGGTGCTTTAACCCCTGCAAGAGCAAGTATTGAGCTGGGCAAAGTCCATATTCCATCTCCACAAATTAAACCAGAAGCTACAGCTGGTGCAAAAGCATCTGCCTTGGCCTTGTTTATCTTTCCCCAAACGAACAAAATCAGGCTTCCAACACACATATCAATGGCAAAATATGGCCCGATATAGAAAGGTATGGCCATAGCCATTGGAAGAGGAATGAACTTTGCGAACTTGTTGCTTTTTTTCTCCATTACATCCTTGAATATGTTTATGAGGATAGCTCCACAGAAGAAGATGTAACAAAGCTTAAGGCAATTCTTTGGCAGAGTTGAAAAACCCTCTACCCCCAATATAGCCATATTACGGTACACAATAGCGAAAGGAGCAGGATATTGACTTCCAGGAAGGCCAAGGTCATCAAAAGCCTTGTAGAAGAGCCAAAAGACACACGGAGAGATTACACAACCCATTGCTGTGCCAATGACTTGGCTGATAAACATGGATCTAGGTGAAGCCAGGGTTAGGTAGCCTGTCTTGAAATCTTGCATCAGATCAGATGCTGTTGAGACAATGTTCATCATGACTCCACATGATGCTAGCCCTGCTAAAACTCCACCATGTGCGGCTCCGGCCCATGCCCCAATCGTGAAAATGGCAAGTTTTCCATAGGTGGATGCGAGGGACCAATCTGTTAGTCCGCATCCGTAAGCATTACAGAATGCTAAAGTTGGTGCACAAGCATAGATGACCAATATATAGTACCACTTCAGTTGGGGAAAGATGTGTGGAAGAGTAGCAGTAGAGACAGCAGCAATAGCAACATAACCTGCAACAGCAAACCATGTTGGAATTTGATCTGTGAGAAAGAGTTGGGTGCGACGCTGGTCGTCGTAGGAAACCGTCAAGGTCTTGGGAGGAGAATTGCCATCAACTGGAAGAGCCATTTTGGGGTCTTTGCCTTGGAGATGAATATACAAGCCCATTATTGTTCGGCTTAGTACCTTGCAGAAATTGTACAGACCATCCCCCAGGATCATGGCAATGGATATGAACACCTGAAAATAAGAATTTAAGCCTTAAGGTAATTTCAATACAGGGTGAAAGCTTTCAAGAAGCGAGCGACATATCGGAAATTTGCAGACCTTGTAACCTTGAAGACCATGTAAACTTTTCGGGCTAAGTTCTTCAGGATACCAACCACCCTTTCTAGTTTCAATCAGAGGCCACATAAGACCCCATGAAAGGATTCCTCCAAGCAAGACAGATACATTAATAATGTATGGGCAAATCATTCCTACCCCTACATACGTCGCTGAGAAATCGAAGAAAAACCTGCAGAAAAGACCATGACAAAGAATTAGAAACATTTAAGAAAGTATATTGAAGCACATTTTACCTTGATAATGAAGATATGTTTCTTAATTCATAAAGAAGAATAAGGAAGAAAATCAAGAAATGTACAGACATGTTGTCATATGCTTTGAGTCCAAATGTAGGGAAGTTAGCAAATCCACAATAGTCTTCAGCCTTGAAAAACCACTGGAAGAAACCCCATAGGAAGCTGAAGGAGAAGAACTTTCCCAGAGCTTTTACTTGTTTCCTACAAGAGTGTACAGAGACAAAAATCAAGATGACAAAATGTCTAAATTTTCATGTCATCTTCACAATTATACGGTAGAAAACCAAGCAATACTAGCCCGGTCAGTGCCTTTACTTTGCTAGCTTGGCTCCTTCAGGGGTGTGGAAGCTATTGATAAGATGAGCAGTTGCAGTTCCACTTGGATATGTCAATTTGAAGTCTATGACCATTATCTGAAACCAATTGGAGGATGAGGTTTGCAAGTAAGAAGGAAAAAATGAACCAACAATTTGTTTCAAAAATTTGCATCTGTTTTCTGGAAAGTTAAAGTCTTTATATTGTAACCTTTCTTAGAGGGACGACTGAGAATAGGCCGAGAAAGCTAACAACAAAGAGAAATCCAATAATCCATCCCAAAGCTGGATCTTTGATATCTTTTGCACTAGCTGGATCGGCTGATTGCTCTGCAATCCGTCCACTCATTCCGAACAGGTAACTTCCGAATCCTCCTATTGTACGAAATTTATCAAAGAATAGAGTGATCAGGCTCTAACATGAAAGATAAAAGCATAGAAATTGATGTTAGTATTTCATTGTAACGTCAAAATTGTTACCGCTAAAGGCGATGCCAGAGGAGGCCACAACACATGTCTGGATGACAGTGTTCTCTTGTCTGGTAAATGGCTGCTTCAAGAAGCCAGAATTATCCAGGAACTTTGTCCAAGTCTTCACAAAGAAAAACCCCAACAGACCAGCAGAAACATTCAGGGAAGGTATAATTCCTGCTGTGAGGTTCAGCTTCATCACTATAAAGCTGAACAATATGCTTAAGATAAAGCTCACCCCAAAGGCCCTCCATGTCAGCTGATTCCTCCATGACGGCACCTCTAGTTTCGCAAATATCCTTTCCACCGATTCCTCTCCTTCTTCTAGTTCAAGTTTCTTGTATTTGTTGTTATCACCATCATCTGCAATTTCCACCTCTAAACTTCTCTCCACTTTCTCTTCCGTTCCATTTTGATTCATCTTTTCTTCTTCCCTTCCATTTTGATCCATTTTTCCTTATCACTATGCCTTTTGTTTTCGTCTACAAGAATAATGCAGAATCTTGCCTTTTAAAGCATGAGATTGGAAGACAAGTCAAGCAAGTATTAATCACAGCAATGTAGAGGAGTTAAGTATTCTACGTTAAATAAGGAATTTATTTGCATGGGGCCGAACATATGATCCAAATGACAACCTATTTATGCTGTCGACTTACTCTGGTCTCTGCTCCTAGAGCTTAGATGCCGTTAAGAATACGGCAATATTTGTCTATCTTGTTAACTTCTTACATTTTTAGGACAAACCTAGAGAAATATAAGGCAATACTTATGCAAGAAATCACTTTCAACTTATTTGTTCAGCTACGGAGATTGTTGTAGACCTCATCGCTGAAGCTTTTATCGTCTTTCTCGACGTTGATGATTTTTCGTTCTCTTTTCCCCTGTTGGATAACTGAGTCCGGTATGGTTTTATTGTGAGAGACTGATAACAACATTCAGTTCCAGAAGGCCATACGAGTGCCAGATTGGACCAGCTAATATCATAGCTAGCAAAACTAGTATTAACGTTAACCAGAAACACAACAGCTGTAAGGAATAGAACCCAGAATAGCAGCTGTATTTGCGAGAACAGAAATACTTGCATCTACAGAAGACATATCATCAGCAGAGATACAAGCAGAATACAGCATGAACTGTCGAAAAAGTCTTAAATAACGGCCATTACATTATATAACGGCCATTATATAATGGTTTCAGAGCATTCTGTTATCGTTATTTTAATATTATAATAAACTGCGATCTGCGATGATGACCGTAATCGTTTTTTTAACCGTTCGCTATTTAAAAGTATGATAGCAATAGCGCCATCAACACACAAACTAGAAGTGGAGCAATGGCAACTCTAGGAGAATTGATGCGTAGTGAAATGCAGAGCTAATTTGCACATGCTGTAGAACAGATAAGCAGGAATAGCAACATCTCGTGTTTAACAAGGACCGCCCACCACAACTCTTGAATTGTTTGCATTGACCCATCCCCAGCTCGATATCGAAGCAAACATCAAAACTTATCAGAAGCAGAAGCAAAAGAGAAGTTCGGTGAAAACAACAATAGCCAGCATGGACAGAACTGAATCTGTATTGGCTTGGTTTCGCAAAGAGGAGGTCCTGGGTGAGATTTTGGAGGATCTTATATGAATAAGGAAGAAGAAATCAACAAAGACAACTGCAAAATGTTCAAAATCAACATGACTGCAAACTGTAAGATTTCCACATTCACTTTTGATATTGTTTTTAGAGTCTACTAACAGTACTGTAATTTTCCATTTTCACATTGTTTATGCAACTGTTCCACTATCTTCTTCAAACTACACAAATAAAAAAAAAAACTACAAGCATATTTCTAAGGATTGACTAAGAAGCATATATAAGTAAATGGACTTTTGCCTTTTCTCCTCCAAAATGATCATAGAGAAAAAGGCTGTTGGCTCCGCAAAATAGCAGCAGGTGATTATCCACAGTATTAGAATAGTCGAACTTGATATGTAAACTTCACAGCCTTGGTCTAGGAAGCAGTTCAGCTTACTCAGCTTCTATTCAAGTTGATCTGAACTTTGGCTTTATGACCCTAGGAATGCATCAACCTTACTATTTGTTCTCCTTGACAAAAACTTCATGCAAATGGGAGGTTTCACACCTGCCAGAGCAAGTATTGAACTAGGCAAAGTCCATATTCCATCCCCACAAATCAAACCAGAAGCCACTGCTGGCCCAAAAGCATCTGCCTTCGCCCTGTCAATCTTTTCCCAAATAAATAGAATCAAGCTTCCCACACACATGTCGATGGCAAAGTATGAGCCAATATAGAAAGGTATAGCCATTGCCATTGGATTGGGAATGAACCTAGCCCATTTCTTATTCAATGAATCCTTGATCAAATTTATTAGAATAGCTGCACCAAAGAATCCATAACAAAGATAGAGGCAATTCTTTGGTAGAGCCGAGAAGCCTTCTACCCCCAATATAGCCATGTTTCGAAATACAGCAGCATAAGGAGCAGGGTATTTACTTCCAGGAGTCCCAAGATCCTTGAAGGCCTTGAAAAAGAGCCAAAAGACACCAGGGGAAATTATGCAACCCATTGCAGTGCCAATTAGTTGGCTCACGAACATGGATCGTGGTGAAGACAAGGTCAGATAACCAGTCTTGAAATCCTGAGAGAGGTCAGAGGCTGTGGAGACAATATTCATCATGACTCCACAGGCGGCTAGTCCTGCAAGAACTCCACCATGAGTGGAACCAGCCCATGCTCCAATTACAAAAATAGCAAGCTTCCCATAGGTGGAAGCAAGGGACCAATCGGTGAGGCCACATCCATAGGCATTACAGAATGCAAGGGCTGGGGCAAAGATGTAGATAACCAATATGTAATACCATTTGAGTTCATGAAAGATATGTGGAAGAGTGGCTGTAGAGACGGCAGCAATTGCGACATAGCCTGCAATAGCAAACCATGTTGGAATTTGATCTTTAAGAAAGAGCTGCGTGCGGCGTTGGTCATCATAGGAGATCCTGGAGCTCTCAGGAGAGGAATGGTCAGCAATAGGGAGAGCATTGGTTACATATCTCCTTCGAAGTTGAAAAAACAAGGCAGCAAGTGTTTGGCTTAGCACCTTGAAGAAGTTGTACAGACCGTCACCCAAGATCAAGGCAATGGCAATAAATACCTGAGTTCATTGCATAAGGTAAGTCTCAGTATGCATGAAAAGTACTCAAAAAGTATGTTAAAACCACTTACTGGGCACTCTTGTCACCAACACTTTATTAGAAGTTTACCTTGTAACCTTGGAGGCCATGTAGACTGTTTGGTTTGAGGTCTGCTGGAAACCAATCACCCTTTTTCGTATCTATCAGAGGCCACATTAGACCCCAGGAAAGAATTCCTCCAAGCAACACTGATATGTTAATGATGTATGGGCAAATCATTCCAACTCCAACATAAGTTGCAGAGAAATCAAAGAAAAACCTGTACATATAACAACATTATGAGTCAAAGATACCATAACTATTTTGAAACACAGTGCCCAAATAAATGCATCTAATTCAACAAGACAAGTATTTTTGAAGATTGAATAATGTATTTACTTGTTTTCATATGCTTTAAGCCCAAGTGAGGGGAAGTTAGCAAATCCACAACCATCTCCAGCAGTATAGAACCATTGGAAGAAACCCCAAAAGAAACTGAATGTGAAGAACTTGCCCAAGACTCTCACTTGTTTCCTGCAATGGTAGAAAAACAAAGTTAGATACTCTCACATGCC